CCACAATTTCTTTATCTCTCTTCCATGGGGGGTTCTTATTCATGCACAATACCACAATGTGCATGGTTGGGTAGGATGATTTTCCTTTAAAAAAAAAAGGCTGCTCTTTCTAACTCAAGTTATTATCCTGCATGTACAAGATCAAGAAAGTCAAGACAATTATTCTTTTTATATGTAGCACACTTGTTTGGGGTTTAATGCATCACTGATAGGTTGTACTGTGTTTTCTGAACTATTAACATTGGACCTAAAAGAAGGAACTATGTATATATAATTAATCAAGCATGCAGCATACTGTTCTGAGGAAATGAGGGACAGTTTTTTTCTTATGGATAACCTTCTCTGCTAGAGCAGGAGGCCAGAGCACAAAGCTCTGTCAGTTTTGAACAAATGGTCAGAACACCTATGACACATAAAGAATTCCAAATGTGAGTTAACACATTTATTGCAAGTATTCAATTATGAAATTCATTTTAAACAGGACATTTCCCAGGGAACCAAATTAAGCCTAATGATACTTAATGGCAAGGACTGCTGCTTAATTGTGGTGGTAATTCCACCTAATTGGGATTCCTGCAGGTGAAAAATGGTACACAAAAAGGTATAAATAGTTTGGTCTTTCTGACATTCTAATGTTAGTAGCACTTTTTTTTTCTTTTAGGGGAGATCTTGGCCAGTCCTTACTCAGTAATGCAAATTGGCTGCAAGACTTTGGAAACGATGAATCACAGTGTATTCTCACTGGGCCACCAAAGATGGGTTCCATGGATAGCTCAACAAAAGGCAGAGTAATCCTGCTGCCTCTGGTGGTAGATTCTGGAGTCACTGAGTTTCCTCCACAGCCTCCCAGATACTCCTCTGTCTTGGAAAACAAAGTGTTGCAGCAACACAGTATCTTCTACAACCTTTAAAGTAGATGTTCTCAAACTTTGCTTTGCCAGATATTTGTCAAGTAATGGGTGTGGATGAGCAAACTGAAGCATAATCCAGACAAGACAGAGATTCTGACAAAAAAACACCTGTTGCTCAGCAAAAACACCAGTCTAGGATTAGTATTAACAGCTTTCTGGATTTAACTGTATTCCCACAAAGGTCTTGTAGTTTAGTGGATCTTTTGGACCCAGCATTGTAATGGAAACGCAGGTGGCTACCGTGGCCAAGAGTAGATTTAATGATGTCAGTTGTATGCCTTCCGAGCTGATGATAATTTGGCCATAGTGATGCATGCTTTAAAATACCTCCATGTTAAAATACTGTGGCATGCTCTATGTGGGGCTGCAAAAGTGTTCAGAAGCTACATCTACTGGGAAATGCAGTGGCCATGCTGTTGTCTGATGTATGCTTTAGAGCAGTGGTCCCCAACCTTGGGCCTCCAGATGTTATTGGACTACAACTCCCAGAAGGCTTCACCACCAACTCTGCTGGCCAGGATTTCTGGGAGTTGAAGTCCAAGAACATCTGCAGGCCCAAGGTTTGGGACCACTGCTTTAGAGATCCTATGAGACCTGTTTCAAACCACCTATATTGTCCTGCAGTTTGCTTTTGAGCTCAGCTGAAGGTACTCATTTTGATCTCAAAAGCCCTAAATGGCTTAGGGCCAAAAAGTCTGAGAGGCTGCCTTTTACGTGCCCTGAGTTTGAACTGCTCAACAGAAGCCCTCAGCAGAAACATCTCTGCAGAAATTACTTGCATACTGAGTTGTGTGACTCAGCTGATCTGATCCAGGAAAGTGCCCAGTCTTTGGAAAGTGGGTGGATTTGAAACATGTTGGCCCTAATTCTCATTTTGTGCTCAGTCTTCACAAGACATGTTCTACACATGAAAACTCATGAGAAATAACTAGTCATGCCAACATCTATCACAAAACAATAAAGCATAAAGCTTAAAATCAGTTGAATCAGGATGAGCCACTTGGAATGGGTAAACATTTTGTTTTTTAAGTGTACATTGCCCCCCACCCTCAGAATAAAGACACGAGACAATGATATGGATTAAAACACGGACCACACTTTATTGATTATAATTCAAGAATTTTGCCAATCGTTTGACAAAAGGGGGGGGACTGCTGTAGTGCGGAAACAGATAAATCAGTAATCATATGGGCAAGGGGGGCGTTGCTGTAGTGCGGAAACAGATACATCAGTAATCATATGAGCGAGTCTCTGGCCCCAGGTTCCTGTGGTCTTAAGGACAGCAGGAACCCGGCTGGCTGCTAAGAAACACCCCCAGACCTCGAGCCATCTTTACTTGATGACTGTTGGTCCGGAAGTGGCCCAGCGCATCTTTCCCACCCAGGTGCTGTAATCTCACGATCCGCAGCCCTGGGAGGTTTGATGCTCTGTTAGCGTATCTGATCTTAAAGTGGGACTCACTGAGAAATACCTGTTTTTTCCGTACTACCTGCCAGTGCGACCAGATTTCCACCATAAAAATGGCAACAACCCTAACCAGTGTGGGATAGGCAAAAAATCCTACCAGACTTCCACCATAAAAATGCCAACAACCCTAATCAGTGTGGGACAGGCAAAAAATCCCCCCATCCAACAGCCAATGAGGATGAAGGTCAAAAATTCCTATCTAGCCCCTAAAAGTTGACCAGAAAAACTCACACTAGAATAGGGTGGGCAGGCAGGTGCTGGAAAAAGAAGAGGGAGGTTAGAGGGGAGGCCGCTTATATAGCCAAGCATTCTCCCGCTTTTCAAACAAGTCTCATGAGACCGTGAAGGTCTCGCGCCAACGGGGGGAGGGGGGACAAAGAAGGTCGCACTGCCCAAAGCTCGGCTCATCAGTGACTTCGTCATTACAAATCAAAGTCCAACTTTTATCAATACCACTTTTTTAAAAACCCTAAATATTATTAAAAACATGAAGATATTTTTTCCACATTTGCCTCTTTGTTCAATGGACTCTGGCTTAATGGGCTCTCCAAATTATCTGCTACTGAGAATTCAACAATGCTAAAAATGGCCATATTAGCAACAGCTGTGTTTCAGTTGCAGGGGCTAATGCTATTATTATTCAGAAAATATCTGCACACAGTAGTTTCATTTTTTTTTATCAGAGGGTATTTTTTGTACCATCGCAACAAAATATGGTATAATTCTAATAAGTCAGTTCCCAAACAACAGGAATGTTTAACAGGATCACTCAGTCAATAGATCATCTTTACCACAAACAAAGCAAGTACAGTTGCATCCAACACCTAGTTATTATTTGGAAAGTGGTTTGTCTTGCATTTCAGAATAGTACATAAAGTGGTAGCTTCTATTTGTCTCTTTTCAAATGTTGAATGCTAAAAACCATAAATCAGAGCGCACTGAATTTAATAACTATCAGGTACAATATGTTGGCTTTGCAGTTCCTAATGTAAAAGTTAACTGACATGATGAATTGTGTTACAAATGAAGTCTGCAGCACAATAAAACAGAAAGTGATCTGAAGAAATGGACTTGAACCATGAAAGCTTGCTGATTGTTTGATTTTTTTAATGATCTAATAAAGGTATCACCTCTCCTACAAAGAAAGTGAAGGACATGCACTTCCCCTAGCAAAGAAAACTGTTGGCCAGAGGAAGAAATGTTTGCCCAGAAGAAGTATGTATTATATTTTCCATGGTTACAGTTTTACATGGCACATCACAATAGTGCACCACTAAATGTATGAAACTGCTTATAATTAATTTGACAAATATTTTGGGCTGTCCATATTTATATATGGATGGTGCAAATTTATCATTTAAAATATTTTGTCCTAAATTCATTTTATAAAGCTCAACAATATTAAAGCAAATAAAAACACAATTGTCCAACTACTCAAAACATCAGAATAAAAGCAAAATTGAATTGGGGAATTACATGCCGTTTAGTTGTATCTGCCGTACAGTTACTCTGATAGGGTTTTCAAGGTATATGAGACATTTAAGGAGTAGTTAATGCAACCCTCCTCCCATTGAATTTCCATGGCTGAGCAAGGATTTGAACCCAGGTCTCCTGAGTCCTGGTCCATCATTGTATCCACTGTACCTGACTGGTTCTCAGATTTCTCTGTGAAATTCAGCAGTGCCAAAACTGATGCATTCTCTTTATCCTGTTCTTAGAACAGATCATCTACTGGGAAAACTATGGGTATCATCTCATGGATCTATGGCTTGCATTTTGGACTGTCTATGGCATGGTCTGGTGCAAGCTATTTCCTGCCAATCACATGATGTACAGGCAATAGTGCTCCAGCCAAAACCTGATCTATGCCCAAACTAGAATTTGATGGTCCAGTGGCAGGGCTACTCTTTTCAGGGTCAGGCTGGAGCAATTCGCTGACAGGCCAAAGGGTCACTTAAAGGGAGAATGCTCTTGGCAAAGTGACCCATTCTAGTGTAATCAGAGACTATAGTTTCTGTCCGACTGGAACTAAATCTGTTTCTATAGCAAAACTGGGTCTAATACCAGAAAAACATAGCCCTGAATTCAAGACGATCCATACTTTCACTTCATAATTTTTTCTGTGACATTTTATTTTCCATTTCTTGAGAAAGTACCATCTTCATTTGTTTGCCACCCTTAAGCTAAGTCAGAGATAGAGAGATGGAATTAAAGTACATCTGTACCACTTGGCTACAGATACCTATTGAAATTGCTCCAAGGCCCTGAAATTCACTCCCTTTGTAACATAAATACTTTTTCATCTAGCCACTGGATAAACATGTGCATCTTTATTACTGTTAGCAGCAAAAGCAAAAGCGTGCTGCTTATATACCGCCCCATAGTGCTTCAAGCACTCTCTGGGCGGTTTACAAGTTAATTATGCAGGCTACACATTGCCGCCCCCCAGCAAGCTGGGTACTCATTTTACCGACCTCGGAAGGATAGAAGGCTGAGTCAACCTTGAGCCGGCTACCTGGGATTTGAACCCCAGGTTGTGAGCACAGTTTTGGCTGCAGTACAGCGGTTTAACCACTGCGCCACGAGGCTCTTAGAGGATTGTGTGCAGACTAGAGGATTGTGTGCTTTAACAAAATACACTGGATGAGATGAGGTAACCCTCTTAATAGAAACTCTAAAAAGTTTATATTTTTGATTGCCTACTTTTTTTCTCTCCTACATTAAAGGAAAATACTTAATACACCAAGTCCTCACCACATCAACACCACTCCTTGGCAACATTAGCACACTAGATTAGTTTTTGCAGTAGTTCTGTGGCTCAGATTTGTCTAGAACTGCCTCCTGAGTGAGAAGATAGATCTCCTTTATTCAGTGGCTTTTGCCCAGTGTTCCTGTGCTGGAGGGAAAGAGTTGCAGAATGGGATTTGTTCAGTTTTTTGGATGAAAGTGGCCTCAGGAAGGTTGTCTGTGAGGATTCTTCCACAGGATCTACAGGTTCATGGCATTAGCACTGGTTGAGTTATTAGGAGCCTCAAGGTGGGGGCCATTGGCTTGAGTGTTCATCCCCCACCATCTTTGTGCCTTCACTGGATGCTGAGTCTATGACACAAAAATCACGGTGGGATTACCTTCTTGCAGGTTATTGTGAAGATAATACCTCCGTCAACGATTTGCAGCTATAGCCACATTAAACCCAACCCTAGGAATCATCACTTTCTATGAATCTGTCATAGGATCAACATGTTGTTATTTGTCACAAAAATGTACTGGTTTCCCTGTGTCAGCAATCCAGAATTTAAACCCATGGAAGAAGCTTTGCATTCATTATCCATCTGCAAGACAAGGCAAAATACATATTTTAGAAACTACTCTTTCCCTTCACAGACTTGTTTCAGACATTTGATTTCAGAAACCCCCTCCCACTGTGCGTATTCTTTCAAAAATGTATCCACCAAGACTTCTGATCTTGGCAATTTGCATATTATTTTTCTAGCCCTCCCCCAATCAATAATACTTACCTTTTATATTTTTTAATCCATCCTGAGTTTTTCGCTCAGTCAAAAGCCTTAGATATGCTCTGATTTTTTTTTAAAGCTTGTCATCTCTGAACATGGTGTAGATGATTATTTTACTTGTTGTAAATCCACAAGCAATTCTAGGAAGTTGCTTTATAAAAAAGGAGTAAACCCTTAATTTATTTTCACTTCAAAACTAGTGTTATTAATTATTACCATGGAAAATGTTATTTAGTGATTTAGGGCTTGATGCTTTTCTAATTGAACTTAACTGGAATGGCCACAAGTACTAGAAGACATAGTAGGATTGAGTCCATGATTTCTAAAGGCTTACAACATCATTAGTAAAATTTGCACAACACCACAGCACAAATTTTGCTTAATCTGGTAATTCTTTTTTTTAGCATTGGATGTAAATACATCACAACGATGCTGAAGAATCAAATATGGGATAATTGATGCCACTCATAGTACTTTAATATTCTGCCATACTTTAAAATGTAATATCCCTCTCTTTTTTAGCCTTTCAGAAGAAGAAAGTTAAGAAGAAAACTGAGCAGAACCTGCAAGTTTTATGAGATCCCATTGTAATTGCACCATTGAACACAGTCAAAAGTGACAAATCTTCAGTAACTCCTGGTAAGCATTACTGTTTATCCAGGGACAGATTATTAGATAATTTGTTTTCTTACCCAAGTAGATTTTCGTTCATAAAACCCTGAGATTCACTTTGAAGACAACAAGAAGAGGACCAGAACCTTTACAAATGGGGAAAAACAATATTATCTGTGTTCTGATTACATATCACTACACATTTGAAAATTCACAAACTACTCAATATTCTTGTCAAGAATGGTAACTAAATTCAGGAAATAAATAAGAGAAATTTAGGCCAGGCTGGCCTGAGGAGAATTGCCCTGTAATGATAAGGTCATGGTTTATAAGATTTTAGAATTGTACAAGCATTTTTCCAAGCCCATGTAAGTTTCCTCTTTGCCCCATGCACACAGATGCATCTGCAGTGACAATATTAGAGGTGGAGGAGATTTTCATTTATAAGAATTTTCCAAACATACAAACATATACCCCTTCATATCAGGAATAAAAGAAACTTGAAAGGTAAAATTAAAAAATTGAATAGATGTGCAGCTGGAACTAATCTATCTGCCCATTAGATCTGTGGTTTTGGGTGCTGTGCTGTTAGAAGTCTGGATCTGAAAACTTCCCTTGTTTCCACCACCCGCGCCCCCAAAAGGCTACTCAGATTTAACCCTTGGAAACAGAAATAATACGAGTGAGCAAGTGAGTGAGTGAGTGAGTGAGAGCTAGTTCTAATGGTTGCTGTGGGTTTTTCGGGCTCTTTGGCCGTGTTCTGAAGGTTGTTCTTCCTAACGTTTCACCAGTCTCTGTGGCCGGCATCTTCAGAGGACTGGAGTAGGAACTCTGTCCTCTGAAGATGCCGGCCACAGAGACTGGCGAAACGTTAGGAAGAACAACCTTCAGAACCCTGCCAAAGAGCCTGAAAAGCCCACAACAACCGTTAGAGCTACTCCTCTTCATGGTGGGAATTGTGCATATTGCATTTGGCTCCAGCAGATTTGGTTCAGGTCATTTTAAAAATAATTTGCCAACATTCACTAATCTCATATTTAGGAAAGAAAGAACCTATAGTTTAAAATGTTTGAATGCTAGAGAAAAATGCAAACAAAATTGAGAGATTGTCCGGTTCCTACTTCAGAAAGTAACATGTCCATGTGATATGGTGGCCAAAAATGCAAAGAGTGCTATCTGCCATCAGCAAAGATATTTGCCTGGTCTGTCTCCTGTTCAATAGAACCCTTCGTCATCTTCCCATTCCTCCCTCTTTCCCAGCAGGGCATTTTCACCCTCTTAATGGAAGAAGAAGAAGAAGAAGAAGAAGAAGAAGAAGAAGAAGAAGAAGAAGAAGAAGAAGACGACGACGACGACGACGACGATGACTGGGGACATAGATGTATGGTGTGAGCCCAGTGAAATGCAGATTTGCAAAATTAAAGGAGAAATTTTGGAGTGGAGAGAGAGGGGAAAGCAAAATACTTTAAATACTCACTGATTTATTTCATTGTGGGCTTCTGTGGATCAAGTGTCCTTCAATGAATTGGAAGGTAGCTTCTGCTGTAATCCTATAAACTAACCTTTCTCAAACCTCAAACGTCTCCAGATGTGTCAGACCACAATTCCCACAATCCCCAGCCAACCAGCTATAAGGTTATACTTCTACCCTCCTGGAAGATCCCATATTGGAAAAGGCTGTTGTACACAATTATTAGATATTCCACCCCTTTAATGTCTTAGCCGCAGTCCTCATGTCAAGATTTGATGGGAAAATCTGTGATTTCTGATTTAAAGAGGTCTTTTCACACATCACTTCCAATTTTTAAGATTTGATTCACAAGGCTTAATTGGTTCCTTTGAACCATTTCCCTAATTTAGAGATGAAGTTAGGACAGAACTTCAAGTGGCCCTTAATTACTGCCTGATATGAATGCACCACACTAGGGCACTTGTTAAAACTGATGATTGAAATTACATCCTATCTGTCAAAATTTGGTGACAGTTGCTCTTCTCTGCACAGAGAAGGTCCCACTTTCGAGCCAAGGGAACTTTATTTTAAAATGTTTCATGCAAGAGATGGGAAGGATTGCAGAAAACCACTGCTGATCAGGGCTAGCAAGACTTGGTGAGATAGAATGGTTTTTGCTCTGTATAAGGTAAGTTATGTCACTTAAATCTGGGGCAGATTTTAGAAGAGACAGGCTTATGTTTTGTGTAAAAGCTGATCAAGTTAATTTCTTAGGTCAAGATCTTACTGGTAAACATAAACAAGGTAAGAGCGTAAGAGTCCCTCTTGCTCTGGCAAGCTCCTTGGCATGAGTCCATTCTCACACTAGCAGTGAAATTGGTTGCACAGCTGGAGATCTAACAAGGAGCCTGCAAAGGAGAAGGGGATACTGATGTGATTGTCTTTACACTCTGTATGTAAGCAAGAGGATATTGGTCGTAGAGGTAGGTGGTAGTGTGTATATGCGCACAACACTGTTGCTGTGTCACTTTCTACCAAGCTGTAGTTCAAGCCCCACAATCCCAGGTGGAAAAGGGCACCATAAGCATAGTCATAGTGTAGATTGCAGTGTAGTTTTTACTTACTTTTTGAAAGGAAGTCAATCCTTTTTGAAAGGATTAGGTGATCAACAGGCTTCACTTGTCCAAAAAAGAGGTACTACTGGTGCTGCTAATGCCATGACCTTCAATAAAAGCCTTTTCCCTCTGGAGTACCACAGAAAAGACAAATTGTCTCCTTGAGGTGGCTATGACTATCCTTCTACTCTAATTCTACTCTAATTAGCCGCCTAGAGTGGACTTATAGTCCAGATAGGCGGGCTATAAATTCAATAAATAATAATAATAATAATAATAATTCTACCACCATCAGTGGGCTCTTGGCTTGATTTTTTGCTCCCATTCAATAGCTTACCTCTGACCAGAGTCAGTCCAATATTTTGTTGGGTCATATCTGGGTGAGTAGACAAGATCTCACCTAAACACAGACATGTTAGATTCACATATATATTTTTAAAAATAGCACCCTCCTCCCAACAAACATACGCATCCACAACTGTGGAGAGAAGAGGTGGCATCAGGTAGAAGAGCTGGTCCCAAAGCTCCTGGAAAATGCCTCTATTCAGCAAATGGTGTACAAGTCCTACTTTCTGATCACAACTTTATTGCAGTTCATCTCCAGCTGGCTAGATTTCCCACTATGCCTTGGGAGCATCTGAGAAGTGCTTAAGCATCCCTATTGTTGCTAAATGTAAATGGGGAAAGAAAATACAGTGCAATCTTATTAATTAGTTTTTGGTGACACATTGTTGGCAAATTTGTTGAACCTGCTGGTTACAAGATTTCTTTTCAAATTGCCAAAAATCCAGTTCTTTCTGAACCATCAGAATTATCAGTATCATGCCACTCATAGTAATTACAACATTCAGAATAAATAAGAGTGTGACAGTATCTGAAAACAATTAGAAGGGATTCTGTGCTTTAGAATGCTATATTTATTTAGGTATCTGTTCCTTACACACACGCACATACACCAAAATACAAATGAACATTCAAAATAAAAATAAGAAGCTTTGTTTGCCATACCTTACATTTTAAAAAAGCAGCAAAATTGGCTTTGTTTTCCAGCTCATTATTGTCTCTTTTATTCTTTCACATACTACCTCCCTCTCTTCCCCATCCCCAAATGTAGCTTTACTTGCTTAAAAAGTGAAGGCAGGAATTATGTGAAGTTGGGACTGCTGAATAATTCATAAGTTCTGATTGAATGGGATCATTATCTCCAGCTTTACAAGCTAATAAATACTGTCTACAGTATTGCCTAGATATTGTTTTGATCTAATAATGTTAGGGAGGGGGGACCCTGACTTTTTCCCCCTTAAAAGATGCACCCTAAATTAGGGAGGAGCTCTCTGATGAATTCATTGCTGTAATGCTCTCTCTCACTCTCTCTCTCTCTCTCTCTCCTTCTGGCTTCTGGATTTGAAAGCATTCTCCTTTTTCTGGAAAGAGGCGTAGTGATGTATCTGGTGTTCCTGATGTTTCCCCTCCTTTTTCCTGCACTACTGTGTTCAACATTTGCTTCTATTTTACCCGTATACACATGATGAGTAATTTGGTTTTTTTTTAATTTAGCAAACTGCAAATAGACTGCAAAGGGTTTGGATCCCCACATGCATCAAATGTAATGCTGGGTGTTGACTGTTACAGCACCAGCTACCATTTGGGAAGGGAGCTGATGGGGTTCATAGCTTATCCAAACCTCCAGTGTTTGATTCGAAGGGCAAGTGACAAGGAATGGCTATCAACAACATAGCTGGTTTGTAAGCTTTTCAGAAGCATCTGGCTGGACACCCTTATAAACAGGATGGTTGACAAACGAGAAAATGCTTGAAACGAAGTTGTTCTTATGTGCTTGCGTATATTCTAGTTCTTCCCATGTAATACAGCAGGACTTGGCAACTTTGTAGGGCCCACAGACCATATTAACTTCTACCACAGAAACTGTCTCCATTCTGATTTCAGAAATGTTATTCCTTAAGATTCCTTCTGTAACAAAGCAAAGTATGTAAGGGGTATGCACATTGGTTTAAAGAACTTTGTTTCCCATGTTTTGATCAAATATTTTTGGGCATGTGGCTCACTGCTGTACAATCAGACTCCTGTATCCACAGGATCAGTATCCACAGTTTCACTAATCTGCAATTTGAACATATTGAGAATATTGAAATAAAAAAATCCATAAATGAGTATTTCTATGATTTAATTACTCAAACTAGTGACTAGAGGGAGCTAGAGACCTTGCAATGGGTTTGCTTTTATTTGGAGTTTTTGACAATTGTTGGGGGGGAGGGGCTTGGGCATGTTGTGAAAATGGCTGATGCTCGGATTCCAAAAGATATCCTGTGTGGAGAATTAGTGCAGGGAAATTGCCCCAGAGAGAGAGACCACAGCTGTGATACAAGGATATCTGCAAGCGGGATCTGAAGGCCTTAGGAATGGACCTCAACAGATGGAAAACCTTGACATCTGACTGTTCAGCCTGGAGGCAGGCGGTGCATAACGGCCTCTCCCAATTTAAAGAGACACTTGTACAGCAGGCCGAGGCAAAGAGGCAGTCCCAAAACAAGCAAAATCAGGGAGCTGGACAGGGGACAGATTGTATTTGTCTTCAACGTGGAAGGGATTGTCACTCTCGAATTGGCATTTTCAGCCACACTAGATGCTGTTCCAAGTCCTCCATACAGAGCTCATTACCATAGTCTCTGGAGACTGAAGGATGCCTATAACAGGGGAGACATGTCTCCCTCCTACCACCTTGATATTTCAGTCTACCAGTGCAGGTAGTGATTCATCAGGTGAAGGGCATGGAGGCAAGTGGGCAGACAGGCCCTCAAGGCAATAATAATAAAAAAGGGGAAGGGGGAATTCCTCCAAAAATAAATGAAATAAAAAGGGGGAAAGTAAGGAAATATGAAATATGTAAGAAATTCATAAATTCTATTAACCTGTCTTTCAGAATCCTACATCTTTCGCATTTTGAAGGCCATTGCAAATCCAGGAAAGACTCAAAAAAAGAAAGAAAGGGCCTCTTTTGTGTGCTGCCCCATTTCTGTTAACCTGACAGTCTCATTCCTAAGTATGATAGTTTCAGTTTTCATCATTTCCGTTTCTAGTAAGAGCTGAAGCTTGATTTGCTCTAGAATTAGAGATGGGCATGAACTGCCAGTTTAGTGGTTCATGTCAGTTTGTCCTTCAGAAAAGCAAGTGTTGGTGCTTCCCTGCTCTGCCTCCAGGTGCTACCTGAATGGATGCTTGCCAAAAGAGGCAAGGCCGGGACAAACTGGCACAAACTGCAAAATCAGCAGTTCATGCCCATGTAGAACACATTTATTTGTCTTTTGGAGAAAGCTCCATGGCGTCTGTAAAGTTCTTCTCCAATGCCACTTCTCAAATAAATGGATTCTTTGGATGAACTTGGCCTTGGTCTCCAGCAACATTTTTAATCTTAAGGACCTTTTCTAGTTCCTTCATAGCTGCCCTTCCTAGTCTCTGTGTTCTTCTGATTTCTTGGCTTCAGTCTATGTTTCAACTGATACTTAAAGCAAGGTACAGAAAATCTGTAGCTACTTTGCTTTCTTCATTATCAGCCTTAAATTTATGTAATTCTTCTGTAGTCATAACTGCAGTTCAACTATAGTCCTGTTTTTATAACTCGTTCATTAACCTTCATTTCATAGAATTCCCTTAGTCACATGCCTGAGACCAACTAAAGACAGCTTTAATTAATTAAAAATTGCCAGTACAACACATATTCCTAATGACTATCTTTCCAGAACTTGAAGGGAGGGATCTATGTCTCTAGACCACTGTGCCACATGGGGTTGCACTGTGGGTGGTGAGACATGGGCGTTTACCAGTGCCAAAAACTTGCCTAAAGGAAGATTAGTGCCCTAAAAGAAGCAGAATGTGTGATGTATTATCTTTGCTTTTTAAAAAAGCATTGTTTATCCATTTACACGGTAATTCACAAAATTCAGTAGTTCTCAGTGGGGTTTCCCAGGCATTACAACATTAACAAGATTTCACTGTATCAATAAGTGACTGCTGGTGTTGCTCATGGCATGAAAAATTCTCTGTTCCAAACCTCTTTGAGAAATACATAGTACAAATTGATTGTATGAATCACACCTCAGAATAAAGGGTATCGGAAAGAAGCTTTCTTATATAGTTAAAAAAAAACACTCATCAGAACTGTATGGGCTCATCACCTTCCATCTCTATGGTCAAGCAACTACTTAGAATCTTATTCTATAATTCGGGTCAAACAACTACTTAGAATCTTATTCTATAATTCTACACTGGCAAGGGCTAACATGCCTTCTTAGCCAGAGAACAAGTCAATGTATAAATCAAAGCCTGTTCACTTCAGCTCAGTTAAAACAGTGGTGAGAATGTTGTCAGTTATACCCACCAGCATAATGCAATTGGCATACATCTCAGTGGTGAAGTCAGGGTGGCCTTTTGCTGTTTTACATTGATTTGTACAACTTGGCCTACAAGAGCAACACCTATCCCGATTTTGTAATTTGTAGCAATTAGCACCAAA